ACTGAGTGATCCGCAATGGTGAGAATTGTGAGACTGGAGTTGGGCAAACAAATTTGACTGGTTTAAGCGCTGCCGTTACCGCTACCGTCACGGCATAGTTTCTGATAAATACCTCGCCCATGGTCGACCATTCTTCAACACTTTCGCACTTTTATTCCCAATTGACATCTTTCTTTTTGCAAATACTTTACATATTTTTCACATCAACTTCTCCCAATAAGTTTTGTTGTTAATCCACCGACCATAGTGCATACCCACCCACCCATCCACCCATCGACTTGCACACAAAAGACGAAAATCCATTGATTACTTCATCTATGTACATCCCCGGCACGTTCAATAGCAAATAAATAAAATTCTTTGCATTTCTACTGTTATTGTTTTTATTACCATCAGCCAGTCTGTCAAACTTTCCCATGCACACTTAATTTCGTAATATGCGTGCCAGTGAAGCAGAATATAAAATGCTCAGACTACATTCGAACACGCTTAATCCATCTGGTTCGTAAAGCATCCGTGGGGTGACACGCCAGTGTGTGTATGTGTGTGTGTGTGTGTGTGTGTGTGTGATAAGACCAGGTGAACCATGCAGAGTGCGTGAATTCTTATCATTGTTTGAATTTCGGTTGAAATGCGCAGTCTCTCAGTAGTACAGTACAACGAAGCAGTTACATTGATGGTTTCGTATAAAGTACGCTCACGTAGAATATCACGCACATGCATTCAGTCTGGAGTCTAGACGGTCAATAACATTTTCATCTTGGACACTTTATACCATTCAAAAAACTGAACACCTTAAGGCTCATCAACCCCCTCCCCCCACCTCGGGGATTGTTTCTCTGAGTGCTGCTCGCATAAACCGGTTAGATATCGTAACAATCAAAAGGATGCCTAAATTAGTAGCGAAATACATCAAACCGAATGCCGACTGACCGCTCGTCCGAAATTGATCGGTAATCTATTCCACGTGATATAGCGTCTTATCTATCTCAACCAATGTTCGACGATATCGAACTAGTTTTCAATATCTTGCCCAAGGTTCACCCAGTAAAATTCCCCCAGTCAGCCGTTTGCATTCAAACCTGGTGTTCTTTTCCCAGACAAATTCACAACAGCCAATCGCAACAGATCGATCATACCAACTGAAATTATTCCAGTTCTTGTTGTCGATAATCTAGTTTGGTGTATTGATTCAATGCTTTTTGTGATGTTGATTAACCCGTAGCGGGAATACAGACGAACATAAGGGGAAATGTGGCGAGCCTGTTTGCGCGGTATTCGATTGTGTCCGTGATGCGGCGTACGTTCGCAATACGAACACTATCCAGAACATTGCGCCATCGGTCCCTGGATGTAAGCCCAACGCTAGCGTGAATTTGTCGGAACAAATAAACCATCCGCCGATTCAGTGTTCTGCGAAAAGCATACAACAATGAGCTGCACACATTCGATTTGTACCACTTGAATTTGAAGATGTGCGCCTAACTTTCGGATTAGCAACTCGTTGCGATGATCACGCTGCAACACTTGTGAGCGAGATCAAATGACGCCCCACACCCACAATCATTTGTTCAGAATCACGTGCACAGCCACGCATATGTTCAGATTTTCGGAGTCAAAATGCCGTTCTGCATTACCACACGGAATCGATCGTGTGCATGAAAACAAGTGCTCACTGACACCAACAGGATACCAGCATGAACAACGACAACCGATATCATCAGAACGACAACACGTGCAATTAGAATCATTTGATTTACAAAGTGCAGCCAAACGGATCGATAAGTCAGTGAGAATCGGAACGAAATAAACAAGCCGAGTTTGTAATTCTACTCCACTTAGGTGTCAAGCAGACCGTTTAAGGGGAGAATTGAATGAAAAATAAAATAAATGAGTGCATGGCTTTCAAGCTTGACTTCACGAATTTGCACACGGGCGAACAGGAAAGATTTTGTTGAAGCTCACAACTGAATGTTCTTTTCAGTTCCCGATCAGAGCCAGTAGGATACGTTTGTAGTCTCCATGTGTATCGTCCTACAACATGGAGAGAACAGTTCCACGGGGAAAGCGGGGTAGGGCGGGGGAGGAACAGACGATAATGCGGTGAATTTTTGCCTGATTTCTTTTCAGCGAACGAAAAAGCTCAACTAGTAAAGAAACAAACAAACAAAAAACAATTCTGGTTTTGTTTACTTCACACAAACGTCTCGTTGCGGGGTCAAAGTGGGACAACAAACGAAGTTGACCAGGTCAACAAACGTTTGCACTTCAATCCATGGATGTTTCCGGCCTATATACACCACTCGCTTACATTGTGAGGTAATATCACAATCAAATTAATAGTCCTGTTTAAGATAATGGATGAGGTCAATCAATGAGGGAGGTTGAACAAGTTTCAATAGTTATTTCATTACACACTTTTGCGCGATGAACAGCCGAAAGGGTAAAGCTTTATTGATTCATCTTTTGTCTACTCATTACAACCGGTTATCTAAGATCTGAGTAACAAGCCACATTAGGTCCCACTAGGATAAATGTGGTATTGGCACGGCTGCTAACAACCAAAGTTGGGCGTCGTTAGCGGAATCAAACCACATACTTTATGACCAAAAACACGCCAATGACAGCACCGATGATAGCAGCATCGTCTGAATATTCTCAACACCACCACCTTCTCAGCGCAATGAAGTTTCTTGAGGAGCAGAACCATATGCTCTTGACGGCTTCTCCAGGTCGAGGATAGGGAAAAAACCGACAGTTAGAGGTTAACCGGGATTACTATGACTTTAGGGTTACTGGCTAAGCGATTGAGGACGATCAGAAGCAGTATTCGAGGATATGGTGAGCTTACCTCCCGGGCAAGAATTCTCCACAAGAATACCATGCATATTTGAGGATAGCGCTGTGACGTGGTGAATGCGACCCGTCGATGGATACGGTGTCACTGACTCTTGTCTAGTTCCATTTAGTCGACACGGCTTGTGAGAAAAGATGAAAGAACCAAACAACTGACTGCCGGCTCACCTATAACAACGCGGCTCTCATAGAGTTCGCCCAAAGACTAGAGCGTATCCATGGATGGGGACAATTGAGTACTACAACAGTCCACAAAGCAAGCAACTATGGACTTTCTCCAACCCTCGAGCTCAGGTTCTTCACTGCAGTCTATGAGAACTGATGACCTAGACGGGACACATATGAGTGCTTCACTAAACCCTCTTCATTTTATCGTCACTCCGCTGTGACAGATCCATCTTCATCGGAAACCTCAGCGGATTGTAATAGCAGTAAAAGTGACTCTGAGGAAAATTTTAAACCTGTTCCTTGGCATTCGGCTACGACTAGCTTCCAAGCTCAACTAAATCCTCCTCCACCGGTTGACGCTCTTCTCTGTTTTCGATACTCCTTCGGGTTAGCCACATTTAATACACAAACCAGGGTGTGCATAATGCAAACGAGGCGGTTACCTCGTATCCTGATCGATGTGTACCGCGATCGGGAAACCCGCATCCAAGAGTTCAGATCTATTATCCGATTAACGCTCCAATCGAATCAATCCACGAAGTTTAACCTGTGTCTGTCGGAGCACCTGGATGCTGAGGCTTCTGGTCTTGTTGGTTTGGACGTAACTCCCAATGAGTCAGTTGAAGCCGCACTGCCTACTTGGATCTCAGATAACAGTGTTTTCAACGTGCACTGGAGACAAAACGTGCCACCGCTATGGGGAATTCTCGTCAGCTGTTCCGGGTCCCCGGGAGGAGAGCATCAGGCGTAAGCGAATCGATGTGTTCAATCTTACGACTTGTCGATACAAAATCAAAAATGGCGTCTTGCACGCTGGGCACAATTTAGTTGACCGTCATGGTCAGTCTCATCCAAAACTGCTCCAGCACACGAACCGTGGTTAGTTTCGACAGACCTACCGTCTGAGGCGGAAATCCGCAAGGAACTAAAAAACCCCTAGACATTAGGAAACGGTGGAGTCAAATGTCAATTCCCCCATCTCTATTTAAAAATGGTGAAATAAAGCTTGTTAGAGAACTACCAGTTCTGTTCTCCAAAGTTCCATGCACCCGATCAGGTTACCTCATTGTGGAAATTGATTGTGATTGCACCAACTATAAGGTGTATGAGCCTAATCCCGATGGTGTCAAAGCCGTTAGCGTACATTATTTTAGCAGGTTGCACAATATGCCGGAAGAATAAACCCTATGGTGAATGCCTAGAGAAAAACTCCAACCTCCAAAAGTTGCCAGAGTACTGTCATGTTTACTGGGGCCCAATGATGATTGTGCTCTTATACACTCGAGCGGCGTTCGACTCCATCGCTGGGACTCCATATTAGGACCGGATTAAACACTCGTTCCTTCAAAATATATACATTACCGAAAACGGTAGTAATGAATTTTTCCATTATAAAAATGCTACGAAACGGATTTTAGGGGCTCTAGTGAAAAGGAAAACTTTATCCCCTTCTTTAACAAAACATTACGTCACAAATGTCTTTGGAATGAGTTCTGAAACATTAATTGTCTAGTTTTCGGGGGTAATGGATCACCAATGCTATGTTTCCGTAAAACGGATTTTCATGCCTCGCTTCGAATCAATACCTACATGCTTCAAAATTCGAAACTCCGTTGGACTTACCGCAATCCATTGGGCCAAGGATTTCCCATTCTCCCGTTGAAACTCTTCCTTAATTTGACCCATATCGACCTCGCAGCGAGTGACCACAATACGGATCAGTTTGTGGTCTCTCGTTNTTCAACTCATAGGCGAAATATTTTGGTTTGTTGCGCATGCAACGAGCTGTTTTATTTGTCCGCGGAGAACAAAATCACATAGGGACGGAAGGAGGGAGAGGGGAGATGAATAACAATTAGTCACAAAAACAGTCGGAAATACACGAGCAAAATGAATTGTTGTAACACGACGTGTCAGCAAAAAGTATAAGACAGAAAACCCCTCATGGAACACAAGAGGCTGCTCCAACAATAGATTTATAGTATTGAAAACTCACTGATAGCTAGAAACGATCTGAGCAAGTCGCCACTCATTTCCGACTTCAATGCCTGTTCAAAGTCCTTCTTGCTCACTTCACCGTATGCCTCAATCACAGCGCGCACGTGCTGGGGCGACTTGGAGGCGAGAATTCGATTGAATCTGTGTGTAGAAATGATGTGAGTTCGAACAGTCATTGGTTTAGGCACACCGGAAGAGCACGGTCTCAGTTGTTTACGTAATTAAAAGTTAGACACACGCGAATCCATACGAAAAATATAAATCGACAGAACAGTGTCACACAAAGGAGACAGTTCTTACATCAGTCATTCCCTGAAGCTATTGATAACTGATCTGTAACTATCCTAAACCAGGGAAGAGAATGTTTCCATACTTGGATGCCAGTTCTTGGTTATAAAGATTATCGGACCGCGAGTTGTTTGACACTATCTGGAATCAGACACATGCGCCATCTATATTAATTTTAATTTTAACAGACCATCCTTCGGACTCCCTCTCCAAGCGTTATGTTCAGTGGATCCAGTTACCCAATGCTGTCGGATGAAAATAAATGGCTGACAATATCTGAAGTCGACATCTGAACAAACATCGGTTCGTCATTCTGGTCAGCCCCGATGTGAGATGGTTGGCACAGTGATAATACAAGCGAATTTCATGAGATGGACCACTACTGATGAGCTCAACACCTTTTCCCATCAAGCTTTAGCCAAAACCCGCAATCCTTTAGCCTCAACCTACATTCCTTTAGCCAAAACCGCAATGCTTTAGCCACGACCCGCAGCCCTTTAGCCTCGACGCACAACCTTTGGTCACACCGCTGTAGGCGATTCAGAACAAAAACTATCGGTATATTCTGAGGTCAACGAATGTTGAAAAAATTTACATTTTACAAATTTCCATATTGCAAAGCTTGACTAATAAATGAGGTATGACGATCGTATGCCGCGCAGTTGACTGTAGTAACGGTATCAAATGCCGGACCACATAGTGATTGGAGTAGGTTTAGACGATGTGCCCGTATCGTCATCTCGTATGGCTTCACTGTTTTCAGTGAACCAGTTTTTAATGTACTAAATGATAAGGGAATTAAAAGAATAAAATCTCCCACCTGTTTGAATTTACTGAAGACCTCTTCCAATGGTGGGAGAAATCGGACATGGTGGTTGGTATTTAACTGCGCATCCAAAGCTCTCCGATGAACGGGCGCATTGTCAAAGATAAAAACTACTGGGACACCCGTTTGCTCAGCAGCGATTAGTGTAGAGCAGCTTGATAGGAACCCATTGAAACATGCCAACTGATCTTTGGATGACATTGATATTTAAGGATACCGGCGACAGATGAACATGCTATTATTTTCAAGTTTTACGATCGTCATACCTCATTTATTAGTCAAGCTTTGCAATATGAAAATTTGTAAAATATAAATTTGTTCAACATTCGTTGACCTCAGAATATACCGATAGCTTTGTTCTGACTCGCCTATAGCGGTGTGACCAAAGGTTGTGCGTCGAGGCTAAAGGGCTGCGGGTCGTGGCTAAAGCATTGCGGTTTTGGCTAAAGGAATGTAGGTCGAGGCTAAAGGAATGCAGGCTCAAGGAATGTGTGTTTTGGCTATTGGATTGCGGGTTTTGGCTAAAGCTTGATGGAAAAAGGTGTAGTAAGAGGAAAACCCAAGTCTCGAGGTTCCCGAGTTTACGGTTTGCTTGCATGAATTGAGTATTGTGGGCGTGAAGTGGAGTCATCTCAAGTCAACTAATGAAACGTGATCTACTGAAGACCTGCAACAAATAGAAATACAGTTAACTATACAAAACGAGCTGAAAACAAACAGTAACTGTCACGTTTTCCAACCAAATATATTTACCAGTTGCAACTGCTTATCGAAGGAACCTAAACACGTGACTTATCGGGTATTTAGTGGACCCGGGGCTAATTCGACCAAATTCGTTAATCACATACGAGCTCCCTTGCTAGAAGAATTTTGAGTTTGCATCGAACTACAAATGAACGGACCCACCTAGTCCCTTCTTGGTGAGTCACATGAATTGACTCATCGTCAGCTACAATCACATCGGGAATGACAATCCGAGGTGCATGTGAGACTCGTGTGAACTAAAACCGACACCGTAATTGCCCATCAGTTGCACGTGAAAGCGTCCCCTGTCTCGAAATGAATACTCACGTTCAACACAAGTGAAACGTCTTCCATATACTGCACTTCACCACATACGTGGATCTGGAGACATGTAATCTGTAGTCTACCAATAAATCAACAATCGCAAAGGGTCTCGACCGTTGAAGATCGGATGAAGCCAGCTATCAGTGATATAAAACAAACCACACTATCCCGTCAACTTCACGAAAATGAGTGAAATAAAACGACCGAACTGCAAGCACTCCGTAGAAAAACAAAATAGAAGATTGTAAGGAGAATTCAGTTGCTATTCGCTCCTGTACTAGAATGAATTCGTGTGAAGAGAGTATCAAAGCGATACTATCGACAAAATCACAGATCACATTCTCTTTTATTCGCTCAGTCGATATGCTTTTGGCACTGAATAGTTACGGGATAGTGATTCCCCTAAAGGGAACGACGATATTTTGCCAATCGATTTATCTGATCGATTCAGACAATTGCCGTTCAAGGTCATCTGGATCATGTGCACCGCACAACATTTGCCGTTTGGAATCTAGGGTGAAGTATGTTCGCGTGTATGTATGATGCCTTGGAGTGAAAATAAATTTTCCGCGAATCGGGAAATTCACATTAGACGCGTGTGCCACAGGAATACGCTAAAACTAGCTTCATGCCAGTTAAACACCAATCTTTACAGAAACAGCGCGTACACAAATGCATTCGACCAGAATTGTTATTAGTAATTTGACTACAAAAAGCAGACATTCAGTGAAGTCGTGTGATTCATCTTGTAAACGCGACGTACGCAAAATCCGAGTAGTAGTTAGTGTCCTCGATAATTTGATCGAATGACGCAGATTCTCGCATAAAAAGTTCGTTTATGGAAGTAACTGTGACAGGCAGTGTGAACACTATCGCGTACTAACCACAAGGTGAAAACAATCTGGGTATCAACCACCAAAGGCACGAAGAGAGTCTATTGTGAAATAGAACCCATTTAAATTATTTCCGCATCAACCGGTCAAAGTCGAATATACACATTTTTCAATATGCTATATTGTATGAACATGGTTGAGGGATGATGCCGAAATCTTCGTTCAATCATTGTGATTTAACTAAAAACAACCATGTGACATCATATAACGGCACTTCAAACTGATCACTATTAAGTAGAGAGAGAGAGCTGTAACAAATTTAAAACTACTCCCATTTTTAAATTTTGCGAATACAACAATTACCGACTTGCTCTCGCATCGCAGCTCCTTCGCAAACGACTATTAATTTACCGAAGATGTTCAGAAAGTTCTATGCGTCAATTTTGGAAAGAATGGCGTTCATTTACATTTCCATAGCTACGGGCTCTGTGAAAAGTTTTATATCAACAGAGTATTGAGCTGTTCGATGCATGGATGTGTTGCGCGGAACTTACGTTGACTCATCTGTGCCTAACTGCTTTTCTCCGGCCTGGTACAGAGCCTGTGCATCCTGACGCACCATGTTCCAATCCACATTCGGATTCTCATCGCGATTCGCTTGGACCAGACTGACAAGAATGCGTTTGAAGTGACCGGAAGTCTCACTCATGATATCCTCTTCCAAGTTACGTTGATGCACTATGCAATACGCGAAATTGGAATGGGAATAACGTAGGATTAAAAAGAATGACGGGACTAATTGAACGGAGACTCAAGTGAGATCGGAAATAATTAAAAACACTTTTCTAATGAAGAGAAAATGTATCGTTTGTTTATATATAGGTTTTCAAAGTATGAGATATGAACAATGTGATTTCATCTGCCAATCCGGGTTGAGTAGCATTAGGGGCTAAACAGCGTACAGCTCGTATAGCGCCCAGGGGACGCATTCGATTATTTTGGTGTGCCTGTCAACCACTTAGCACAAAAAGGGGTCTCCCAGCTCGATAGCAGACCCCAAAAGCAGACCCAATCAGTCTCGTTTACTTTCATATTACACACAAAGGTAGTTACGGCAAAATGGTTAAACCCCACAGTCAATGACATACTGTAGGAGGGAAGTTATGTGGAGAACATTCAAGTGAGCACCAATTTGTTAATCCTGTTTTGAAAAGAGTAAGGTTATAAGTGTTTGGAAATATGGATGGGAAAAGTGTTCCACAATTCCACAGTTCCAAGGGACGAAAAAGACCGAAAAATAGAAGTCTAACATCTGGGGACAGAAACCTGATCTGAGTGAATACCCAACAGAGAACGAGATGGATGAGACTTGTACGAAAATGAAATATACCGTTCTTTATTTGCGGTCTCAATAAATATATTGTGAATGTTAATAACACATCAAGGTCGTTAGAAAATTACATTCGCCGACGTTCCAGTTACCGTGGGTAATATTTCTCAAGGCAGGTTTTACAATAAAAAAACAAGAGTAAACATATTTCATAATGAAATCTGCCGTTAACAGAACAAACAAACTGTTAGCCAAAAGGTTAGAAACAGCCGATTCCACCTTGTTGGGTCTTTTCATCACCGTGTGAATTCATCGACACCACAGAGAACCGAATGCCAACACCAATCACTTGCTCACCCTCGAGGACCGGATAAGACTGCTTCGCTTTGTTTACACACACGCCATGACACAATCCGCCATTCCAACCTCGTTACTAATGTGTCATCTCAGTCGGCTGAGTGCTGGACTCTAACGGTCAGAACTCTAACGTCATTACAACTTTTTCAACTTCCAGGGAATCTATTGTAACTTTAAGTGAATTCAACCGATCACATTCCACTAGGAACCCCACAGGATGATTGGTCTTTCGGCCGTCAAACGTTACCGATTGAAGCGGGCCCGAGTGAGGTTGAAAGTTCCGATGGCGTGGGGTGGGGTTGGGTTGGGTTTGCCTGCTCGGCCCCCACCATCCCCTGGGAACGTTATGCCTTTGATCTGTGATCGAGTGAGCTTAAGAAGAGTTTGATC